ACGCACGGCGAAGCTACGGCCGAAACAAATGTACCATGCGCCGGCTGGGCTACCAGGCGAACAGGAAAAACAGAAGGACGACAAAAAATTTGGCGCAGCCACTTGCTGTACGATTTTGGTCGCCTAGTACCGCGCCAGGCAAAATGTAGGAAAATTGCAGATTTGTGATTTTGAATTTTCTGAGTGCGTGCGTGAGTGTGGGTCGCACGTGTGTGAGAATGAGTGTTCTTTGTGTTTATGAGTGGTTTGCGTTTATGGGCATATTTTAATGAATATTGTGGCGATTTGACTGATTTTTTTTGCGAAATTCAGGTTTTAAAGTATTTTAAATAGTTTTTTAGTAATTTATATATATTTYACATAGTTCTTAGACATATTTACGTGTATAAAAGGTATATGTTTTCTTATATATTTGATGCGTAAAAACATCGTAAATTGGCGAGTTTTTCGTGAATTTTCAGCTGTTCAGAGAGAATATTTATGGGTTCCAATGCTATTTTATACTTACCAATTAATTATAAAATCCATTTGTAATAAAAAAATAATGTTTTATATTGTTTTAAATTAATATTTTTAATAAAATAAAATAATTTTTATGAGCATTAAATTTTACAACTATGCATTATATTTCTATGGTTTTAATATACATTCTTAAAGAAAAGTTTGTAAAATTAGTAGAGGTGAGTACAGCGAGCATTTTATAATAAAACAACATTTTAAATTATTGATTTCTATAACTTTTTTATTAAAAATTTCGATAAAGCCAGTGGGCTCGTTCGATTACATGAAGAATATCAACTCTTAACGCTCTCCAACTTGGTTTTTGAGRGTCTGTATAAGTTCAGCAGTTGCGTGTATTAATCCAGTTGAATTGCAGTAGCACGAGGGCCGGGTCTCATTATACACTGAGGACTTACTTATTCAAAGCAAGTCTTTAAGTAAACAAATACAACTATTGATACCCTGCTTATGAAGATTAAAAATTATATACAATCTCTGAAAATAATTTCTATCGACGTCCTATCAATCATTTTCTCGACTTTAAAGCAGGTTTACCTATTTTTAAACCATTTTTTTATGCTTCTTTGGATCAACCAATAAAAGAGAAATCTAAAGTTGCTCGATACATTTATATCTCTCAAATAATACACAAAGTAAATTAAAGATAAAATAATAGAATATGAGTTGTACCATTTCAACGATAGTCGAGTCCTAAGAAGAACCACTTCCATCACGGTTCTCCATGATTTCGGTTGACTCCACGATCTTTTGATTTATCAGAACTTAGCAAAGTTGTTCTTGGGCAAACAAGCCATAGCAAATGGAGKAAGCCAAACTATAGCCACGCCCACAAAACAGGTATTTTTAAAAGTATTTAAAAAGATATAACACTAAAAATAATTTTTTTTTTTTCAGAAATCTAGAAAACAAAAATTTTGATCTAACAAAAAACGGTTGAATTATAAAAAAATTTATAAAATTTAACAAAAAAGATATGGGTATCAAACTAAAGGGATTAAGGAAAGCTATCAATTGAAAATATGTTTAGAGGGGTGTTGCCACCTGTTACATTTTTTTTTTTTTTTGTTTTTTGTTAAATAAGTAAGAATGTATGAAATATGCGTCCCAACTTAAAGAGGCCGAAACATTAAAATRAAATAAAAATTAAAAAAACGACAAGCGCTGCCACATGTGTTAAAATTTTAAAGAAAAAAATTGTTCGATATACAATTTATAATTGCATTATGGGATTTAAATTGAATAGGGTAAAAAAGCTTACATTTGAAAATATTTTGTGATTAGAGTTACCAACTGTTTAAAAATTAAATTATTCGGTAAAACTGATGAAACAAAGAGATGTACCTCTTTATGTATGTATGTAGATAGGTATATACATAGTTATGGATATGAAGCTGAAGTGTTTACCGGAAGCTTGGACTTGAAAATATATTTTTGAGTAGAGTTGCCAACTCTTTATAACATTTGAGTAAAACAATTATAAGATGAAGAAGCGTTACGACTTTGTTGCCAAATTGAAGATGTTTTAGAAAGAAACTAGAACTGAAACTGTTTTTTTTAAGACAGTTGCCAACTGTCTAAAAAATTTGTAAAAAAAAAATCAGTGAAAAAATATGCCGAAATAGGTATCAACCTAAAGAGGTTTCACAAAGCTCACACTTAAAAATATTGTTTGAGTAGAGATGCCAACTATCTAAGAAAGTTAAAAAAGTAATTATAAGCTGAAAAATATACCGATAGAGTTGCCAACTTTTTAAAAAAATTAAGACAAATTTCAAAAGAGTGTGAAACATTATGACATGGGTGTCAAATTAGAGAGATATCAGAAATCACACTASAAAATAYTTTTGAGCAGAGTTGCCAACTGTATAAAAAAATTTTAAAAAAGGTATAAGCTGAAAAATATGCCGATGTGGATATCAAACTAAAGTGGTTTCAAAAACCTTAGTATTGAAAATATTTTTSGATTAGATTGCTACACTTCTGCAGMAAATATATAAGAACTAATAACATTGAAATTTTTGAAGGATTTTGYTGGTCGAAGAATTACATGTTCATACTTTTACATATGTAACTTATTACTAATCGAAATTAGTATGGCACAACTTGAGCTGGACTCCTTAGAAACATTCGACTGTAGTCTTGCTACATATAGGGGTTTATAAATAACCCAATTTTATTAGACTATTTGGCTTTCAGCGCCTATTCAGCTGAAGCGAAAGATAGCTGAATAGCTGAATAAACCAAAATGCTTGAAACCCATGATATGGAATTTAATTATAAATCTTATTAATTGATTTTTAATTAATTTTTCCGGTCTTCGAAACAYTTTACATAAGCACTTTTYGGATGACCTTTAACGAATTTTGCTTTATCTTTTTGTTCGACTGACCACAGGTTCTACGGAGCGGCATTTCGATCGCTCAATACGTMTGGCAGCTATATGCTTTGTGGTACTATATGTGCGGCGCTCTTCCAAATTTCGTGAGRATATCTTTTAAAATAAAAACTTTTTTCACAYAAGAACTTGATTTTGATTGATCATTTTGTACGGCAGCTATATGCAATAGGGGTGCAATATCGGCRGTTCCGACAAATGAGCAGYYTCTTGGAKAAAAAGGGACGTGAGGAAGTTTTCAAAACGATATCTCAAAAACTCAAGAACTTCGCGTATATACGGACGGACAGAACAGAACAGATGGACATGGCTCGGCTTAGCTCATAACGCTGATCATTTATATATGTATATGTGCAGTTCAATACGTCGGCGATCTTTAAATGCGCTGGAAGTTGCCAGTGTCAAATAATGACCACAAATTCAGGTCATGGGAGTACAGTTATTGGTTAAGTATTGAAATGTAAAGCAATTTGAAATCTAACAGTTCATTTGTCATGGCAAAAGAAAAGTTAAACTTTAAGAATATTAAATAATGGAATTGTAAACACAGGTCAATCGGTCCCTWACCTCGCCTAATAACGATTATATATTGATTTCTCTTTCAAATTACAAGAAATACATAAAGCAATTGCTAGTACATGCATACCTACACATACCGATATGTAAATTATTTAACAAAATATATAATATGTTTTGAACTAACAAGCATTGCGTCTCTTGCATCTTAATGACCTTTGATATAATGCGAGTAAAGCAGAAACTTAGAAGAACTTGTAGAAACCAAAGCAACAGATAAATAGTGTGCTGCAATCGGCCTTGCAATTATGCAGCCGTATATAGTTTGCATGGAAGTATGTATGTGTATGGGCGAGTGAAAAAGCCGCAATGTTCATGAACCGCTTGCACATCAGCTGCTGATGCAAGTTCGCACCTCCAAGCCACCCGCCGACCAAGTCAAGCGTGAAAACGGTGAAAAGGCTTCCACAGCCAATCGATAGCGGACAGACATCACACAATATTTGCATTTATATTATTGTTATTGTGGTTGCTTGTAYTTTTGTTAGAACACTGTACAGAAGTACAGGAAAAGCTTTGCAACAATATATTCAAGCACATAGTTGGAGTGGAGGTTATMGGTAACGAAATTTGCTCAACCGACTTTTGTTTGGGAAACATTTTAAAGTGGTGAAAACTAGTCATATTTTGGAGGAGGGGTTATTTTTCGTGCTTTTTGTTTAATTTAAAATTAATTTTATAGCTTTAAAAAACATGGCGCAATAAAAAAGCCACTTATAATCAGAAAGCCCTCGATAGGCTGRAAAAAATCTTCGAAATATAAATTAGCCTTAACCACGAGATTACGAACAAAAAGCAAACGAGTTTGGTCCCAAATTTAATTAGAATAGAACAAAAAAGCTTAGAGCTGAAAATATTTTTTGATTAGCGTTGCCAACTAGTTTWAAAAAAATTCAGTAAAAACGGTGTAAGGTGAAAAATATGCCGATATGGGTATCAAACTAAAGTGGTTGCCGAAAGCATAAAGTTAAATTATTTTTTGAGTAGAGTTGCCAACAAGAAGCTTTAAGTGAAAAGTAATAAGGTAAAAAAAATGCTGATWTGGGATCACATTAAGAGGTTGAACTAAGCTTGAAACTGAACATTTTTTGGGTAGAGTTACCAACTATTAAAAAAAAATTAGGTAAAAACGATATAAGGTGAAAAATATGCCGATGGGTATCAAACTAAAGTGGCTGCCGAAAGAATAGAGTTAAAATGTTTTAAAAAACTTTAAGTGAAAAGGATAAAATATAAAAATATGTCGATATGAGTATCAAACTAAAGTGGTAGAGTTAAATTATTTTTTGAGTAGAGTTGCCAACTGTTTAAGAAGCTTTAAGTGAAAAGTAATAAGGTAAAAAAATGCCGATATGGGATCACATTCGAGGTTGAATTAAGCTTGAAACTGAAAATTTTCTGGGTAGAGTTACCAACTATTAAAAAAATTAGGTAAAAACGGTGTAAAGTGAAAAATATGCCGATATGGGTATCAAACTAAAAAAGTTAAATTAAGCTTAGAATTTAAATTTTTTGATAGAGTTGCCAACTACTTAAAAAAATTAAGTAAAAAGGGCATAAGTTGAAAAAATGTGGCAATATGGGTACCAAACTAAAATAGTTGCAGAAAACTTCGAGATAAAATATATTTCGAGTAGAGTTACCAAATGTTTTAATAAAAAACAGGTTCGTCCAAAAGTTAATTAGAATAGAGTAAATTGTTGTAATAAGGCTTTCGAGATTTGAAAGATATCTTACAAAATTAGTGAATTGGATATTTTTGTACAAAAAATAAATATTAGAAAAGAGCAGTCTTCTACTCTGAACATGTCGGAAGACAGACCAATTGGATCAATTTAGTAAAAGGAAAATAGATCCAAGGTTTTTGAGACTTTCAAACAGAATAAGAATCATATATGTATATACACATTATTTGAAAGGCCAAGTTTAGTCYAGCAAATTGTGAAGATTAGATTTCCAAATTCAAAAAAACAAAAACAAAAAAAAAAGAATTCAAATCACAATTTTTTAGGCTAGATATTTTTAAGTCACTGTGACTGACTGATTTGAATTTATCTACCATTCGATTGTGGGTGCGACTTTCGTCCACTGAAAACAATTAGAATTATGAGGAGGAATTACAGTGACAAATTAATACCTCGATGGATTTTTAATACCAGCGGACATTTTTGCAGGGGCTTAGAGTTTTTCAGCACTTAAGTGGCAAACTAAAATGATTTCCTTTACAATGGGATTTATGATGCAATAACGAGCTAGAGTATTCCTTTATTCCTTTAAAGTATTTGCTTCTACAATTTAGACCCTTTCAAAAACAGTAAAATTCGATAAAAATTAAAATTTGTTTTCTTTTGAAATTAAAAATTGAGAAACTAAAAGTCTCCAAAATTTTCAAAAAAACACTTGCAAAAGTCACAAAAATTATGCCGACTAACTCACTTGAGCAAAGAATTATTTTTTTCTGTTAAAAGGGTTTTTGCATTACAAAAGAAACTCAGCAATTAGTTTATGTGCCACACATTAGACAATCGCATAAAACGGTGCGCTTGGCCTCGCTGCACTTTTAGTGCATTTTCAACATTCGAACAACGAGTACTGCGGCGCTGTACAGAAAACGCGATCTTTTAAGCAATAAATTACAAACAAAGTAAAAAATCAAGCGASATAATGCCCACAAAATCGGTGCACAAGTGGATGTCGGACGAAATGGCGCGTCTCTCGACGAAGTTCGCACGCTACAAGCCTAGCTGCAACGGCTACAACCGCATACAGCCGGTGCTGCTGTCGCGCAGCGTCACCCAGATGCTGAACAATCCATTGCCGGTGGAGGATCAAATCGGCAGCAACATGACGGCGACGAGTCAACAGCAGCCGCAACAGAARCAACAGCAAKCACACGGGCGTCCCAAAGGTGTATTGAGTCGCTCGGAAGCCGATTGGGAGGAGGTCTATCCGACCGTGCAGTTTGGGCGTAGTGAACATTGTGAGGCGGATGCCAAGAAGGCGGAACGAAAATTCGCTTACTATCGCAACTGTTCGACAAGGATAATTTAGGTTCGAAAAGGATATGATGCTACATATGCCTTTATATGCATGCATATATGTGCATATGTATATATGTATGTATGTATGCAGTTAGAGCAATGCGTTTTTAGCACTGCCGCTTTTCATTGTGTATGATAAATATTTAGTATTAGTTTTTGCAATGTACAAGTTTTGCAAAAATAATTCATTTATATTTAAATGTTGAAAATTGCTGTGTTAATTATAAAACAAAAACACARAGAATCAAATATAAAAAAATAAAAGACGTTTCATAAGTTTAATATTATGAAATAAATAATAATAATGCAGTGTCGAAAAAGTCTTTTCGTATTTTGTCAATAGATGTCGTTGGAGTCGTCAAGTCAGCAGTAGTTGCAAGTCTGATGTGATATGTCTTAACTTGTTGTAGGTATTTCCAAATATATTTTTATTTGCATGCGGTTAGTGGCAAATAATATGGGTAAATTTCTATTTTGTATTCCGATGGTGTTTGAAATGTGAAATTATATAAATTTCGAATTATTTAGTCTGGGTTTACTTTCAGGTAGCTAAAATTTKAATTCAATATTTTCAAAAACTCTATACGCCAACATCGCTTCAAACCGAATTTGTTTCGAAAAATAGAATTCAATGTCAAATTGCGAAGTCGAGTTAATATTTCTACAATAGAAAATTTTTATACTTTGCAAGAAACTAACTTCGAGATGAGAAGAAAACAACAGTCGAGTCTACGTAACCCGGAACGGACCTGATTTTTGATTCAGCCAAGAACTTTCAAATCGACAGCGTTCTTTAAATTTTTTCAGGAATATTTCTTGCCGCTACAACAACAGAACAGCAGGGGGAAACTTTGATGTTGCCTATATATTAGTTGGTCGAAAAAGTCTTTTCGTATTTCTGGTCAACTTTCATCATATTTTTTGTTTTTTTTTTTTGTTTTGTTTATACTCATAAATAAATAAACAAATAATGTACCTTTTTTAACCACTTTCTCCGTTGGAGACATCATTGCAGCAGTGTAAATCGAAATTTCSAGAACGGAAGCGATCCAGAACGGAAGCGATACAGCATCGTCTCCGTACCATTCTTTCYTTTTTCATATAAAAATTGTAATATGTAATGAATTTCTTCATTATTTTCACTCATTTTTTAACAGCTGTAACTTTTTTCAATTTTCCCGAATTTATAATTTTTTCTTTGTTAAGTTAAAATCTTCCCTTTCCAACGCTATATTATGACAAAACGTGACTGGTGGCACTGAAGATATACGATATACTGCAACCACATATATTGAAAAAATACAAAAAGACTTTTTCGACTACCCAATATTTACTTCTTTCGGAACTTAATACTGTATTATGTTTTCAATTAGCTGAAGTTTGAAATTAGTGAAAATTTAAGGCTAATATTTCAATTTACGGGGAAACAAAAGGAAAAAATGGAAACTATTAATTTAACTATGACCCGATTTGGCCAAGAAATATGTTTTTATAGTGGTGCATTCGTAACAATATTATCGGAGTTTGTAGCAATAACTTGGGTAATAATATCAAATAATATCGGTCAGTTTGTATGACAGCTAGATGCTTTCAACAAAAGGGTGTGTGCAAAATTTCAGATCGATATCTCAAACCCTGTGGGACTAGTAGTTCGCGTATATACATACGAATAGATATCAAGACACGACGGATGGCTAACTCGACTTAACTAAATACTCTGATGGTTTATGTATATGTATATATATCAGGATATATTAGGATCTCAGACGTTTCCGTTTACGCGTGGCAAAGTTATTATAAGCTGTTCAAGGTATAATAACACATTAGTCGATGACAGAAAATATGCTTGGTGGAATAAGTAAAATTTTAAGCTTTCAAAGAAAATTTTGCTGAATTGAAATTCGATTATGATAACGGACCGCCGTAAAATGATATCCAACAAGCAGAAGAAACATAGCTAAATAAGTTAAATAAGTTTTCTTTTGAATTTTTTGATAAAAAAAAGTTTTTGTTTGATGCTTTGAGTTAATTTGTGGCAAAAAAGTGCTAAATTCGTTTTTTTGTTGGGTGAATATGAAAGCGATATAAGGGATATTACAGAAACCCACTAGAAAAAAGTGAGGTTAAGTTTTTTGGATTTCCCAAAATATCGAATTGTATGTGCCAAATATGAACTAAGGCACTTCAACGAAAAATATCAATAACAATTTTCAAAAAAATATCAATAGTAAAATAGAAGATATAGAAAATTTTAGTGTCATGGGTGGAAATTACTAAGTGAATATAACCGTATAAATGAGGTGTAACCGTATAAATGACGACTGATGACTCKACTCAACTCGACTATAATCGAGTAAGCGGTACAACTCATATACACATATAAAAACTGTTCTCAAATCTAAACTTAATAGAAGAGATATATATAAATGGGTAATACACTGAAAAAGAAACTAATTCAGCAACATACGAAGAAGAACTCCTAGCACTCCTAAAACCAAATATGCAACTTATTATAATATAATAAATATGAAAATAATGAAATAGTTAATGGCAATATGA